GCCATATGCCCACAAAGGCAGAGGCTAGGGCTATATGTCCTGAGACTAAGGCACAGGACATGGTCCCTCTGCCCTGACCTCCAGAACTCTAAGGAAAGAAATCTCTGCTCCATCAGCCACCCAGGCAAGTCAAGTAAGGGTTTGTGTTTCAAATAACCCAAGTCACAGGTTCAAACAACCCCTTCCCCAGCAGAAGGCTTGCAAGGCAGCTGTGGTCACACAGGGCTGACTTGTGGACGGTGGCTGGGGCAGCATGTGGGGGCTTAGCACCCCAAAACCTGGTGTTGGCTGTGTTAGGAGCGTATCTGATGCCTCCCCTGGACATCATCTTATCGGGGTCGCTATACCAGCCCGCCAGCCCCATGAGCTCCCGCCCAGCAGGCTTGAGCATGCCACATCCCATGCAGCACATACCGAGCCTCCACTGGCTGGCTCCGTGTCCAGGTAGGAGGGTGGCATCTGGACCTTGCTGAGCACCTTGAAACATGTCTTCAGCGCATGTGTGAGCTCAGGCAAGCTCAAGGTCTCCACCTCCTCAGCCAGAGGCCGCAGCAGGCAGCCGAGCACCTGCGGCAGGTACTGGGTCTGCACCTCTGAGTAGAGCTCCTGTGAGGATAAGCACAGTTACTCACAGGCAGTCTCTGATTGGGAAGATACTCCTCAACCTGATGCCTTAGACAGTTAGGTTTCACATTCATTCCTGAGTAAGAAAACAAAGTACTGCTGAGCCTGATGGTACATTCTTGCAGCTCTAGCACTTGGAAACTGAGGCAGGAAAATTGGCACAAGTTCGAGGCCATCCTGGGCTACATAATAAGAACCTGTTTCAAAAAAAAAAAAAAGGAAAAGAACAATTACTATCCCCTCCTTAGTTTTTGGCACAGGGCTCTGCTAAGTTGCTTAGGATCCTCAAACTGGCAATATGCCTCAGTTTCCCACATAGCTGGGATAAGAGTGTACCACCACACCTGGTTCTAATATTTTCTTGTTCTTTTTGTGTTTTTGAAGCAGGGTCTCACTATGCAGTTCAGGCTGGCCTCAAGCTCGCTTTGATGCCCAAGCTGGTCTTAAATTTGCAATGATCCTCCTACCTCAGCCTCCCGAGTGCTGGGAATACAGGTATATGCCACCATGCCTAGACTAATGTTTTCATTTAATCTAGACAAATCAAGGATGTCTTTCTCTTTCTTCAAGTCGCTTTACCCCTTGTAAGAGAAAATAGTAAAACTGCTATATTTCTACCCTCAAGAAAATAATACAACTGCATAAATTTAACTAGAAATTTATTTATTCTCATCTTTAAAGAGTTGCTTTATCAGTTCATGACTGAATTTATATAACTTCAGCTGTGCCCAATTACAATGTCTCAAAAGTTACAACTTCTTTTATTTATTATTTTTCACAGCTCTGGGAATTGAACCCTAGGCCTTGTACATGCTAGGTAAGTGCTCTACCATAAAACTATACTCCTAGCCCTCTTTCATGTCTTAATGAAGGACTTGTAAGTTAGGAGAGTTAACTCAGTGGTAGACAGCTTGCCTGGTTTGCATGAGGCTTTGGGTTCCATCCCAGCACCACTACCAACAAAAGAAAAAGAAAAAAAGAGATCGAATCAAGCTATACTTATTGGTACCAAAACATGCACTAAAACAGTTTTCTGTTTAGGTAAAGTACAACAACAAACATTTTTCTTTTGATGTTTTGAGATACAATCTTAGTAGATAGCCCAACCTGGACTTGAGCTTGAGGTGATCTTCCCGTATCAGTCTCCCATACTGGGATTGTGGGTGCACACCACTGGCCCAAGAACACAACAGTCACAAGCCCTGAGCTGCCTCTTTGCTGCAGTCCCTACGTACCAAGGGAATGACATCCAGGAGGAACACGAGCAGGGTGCAGAGCTCCGAGACAGTGGGTGGAGGCCCGATGGGTTTCCCAGCAGTGTTGCCTGGCTTCACTGGTCTGCATTAACCACAAGAAAGGAGAACCAGTTAGTCCTTTCCCTGTCAGCACTTCAAGCTTTTGAGGATTTCTGCAGTGATTCTATTCCATACATAACAATGGATAGCTCTCTGATGGTGGAGTCTGAGTCACTAGAGATGGCTTAAAACATGCAGGCTGTGGGTCACATGCAAGTACTGTACTGCGTACCAGGCATGTGAGCAGCTCCAGATTTGGGTCCCTACAGCCAATTCTCATGGATATTGAGGGACAAGTGGATCTCAAAACAGGGCCCCTGGGCATTACCCAGCCAGATAATGCACAGCTGTTCTGTGCAAGTCTACCTACTTAGTTTCCTTCTAAGTCAGCACTTGTCCCCTTAGAGCTCATCTTGGAAAAGGGAATTCCTAAAGCCTCTGCACTGCGTCCCAGCAACTCTACCTCACAGAGCTGGTGACATGTGCAGGCAGGAAGAGATGTGCACATGATCAGAAGTGAGTGGGGTCATTGGCGCTATGGACCAGGCCAGGCCCTTGCTGGGTGTGAGGGACATAAAGCCTGGCTTGGGTGAGAGGGACAGGTGTAAGGGGCAGGTATGTTATGTGTACACACCAACTCCCACCATGACTCTAACCATTAACAGACTGCAAACATTGGTTGATGAAAATAAAACACTGAAAGGAAAGTAATTTTAGAAAAACATCTCTAAAGGGCTGCCACTCCCACAACAGCGCAGGCAGAAACTCCTGCACCACACTATCACATATGCAGTGCCAGCCGAAGACAGACAAGTGCTGTGACAGCACACAGTGACACTGTGGGAAGGGCAGGTGTGAGGACTGAGGGGAACAAAGGTGCGTGGCTCTATCTGGGTAGCGACATCAAGCTCTTAGAAAACAAAACAAAACACAAAGAGGCCCAGGGCCTCGAAGAGCTCAGAGCAAGAGACCTAACTAGCACTGCAGAACAGTGGCTTTGATACCTGGCACCACCAAAAATATTTTTTAAAAAAAAGTCAAGCTGACCAAAATATGCTCTCACTCAGTATCACACAGCCTTGCCGTGGCCCCATGCTGATGATCAGTTAATTCTGCCCAAGGAGTAGGTCTGGGCAGGCCCCATTCTGGTGCATTGCACTGACTGCTGGGCAGGGAACTCTGAGCTCCGGCCCTATTGGGTCCAGGCTGCTGCCCTGTGCTGTGGGATCCAGACAAGTGCTTCCCATGCTGGGCTCCAGCCCTCCCCCACAGCAAAGGCTTGGTAACAGTGTGCCTGCTCGCCTCCGGCTGGCCCAGAGGGTTACTGTAAGCTTGTGAGCCACAGGACACACACGTAATGTTTCAGAAAGCTTCCGCTATGGCTATTTGGCAAGGGATGGAAGGGAGAAGCTCAAGTGTCACAGGAGATGGCAAGGTTCACAGTGTGCTCCTCAGGGCACAGTGCTCATGAGATGCCATCTGTCCCCCTGTACAAAGGTGGCATGAGGAGCCAAATGTGGTGCTGTAATCCTGGCACTGACAAGACTGAGGCAGAAGGACTGCCATGAGTTCAAGGCCAGCCTGGGCTACACAGTGAGCTCATGGCCAGTCTGAATTACATAGGGAGACCCTGTCTCAAAATACCAGGCAATCAATCAATAAAATAATAGACAGGATGGGAAAGGCTTTCCAGGAAAGCTCGATGTCCAAAAGCATCCCCGTCCACCACGTGGAAGTCACGCAATTCATTGCCAGCTTCAAAATAATGCACAACTGATTAGATTAATGCGTGTATCTGACCACTCTAATCTCATAAGAACTTAAGACCGCAGGCTTCAAAAGCTCACTCTGTGGCCTAGAGATGTGAACCTAGGGCAAGTTAAGGAGGTCAGGCTGCCAGGGCACGTCTCAGAGAATGTACCTGGGAAACTGGAGGGGATTTTTCTACAGGACAGTAACACATAAAGTGGCTGCTGAATTATGCAGTAAAGACTATGTGAGTTGTCTTCATGGAAATGTTCTCTGTTCTATTAGGATAATCAGCGAATTCTTTCCAGGCCTGCTTTGGCCACAGCTGGGTTTGCAGCTCAGCAGAGATCACCTGGCCTTGGATCCAGCATCTGCCCCACCTGCGGGCCTCACACCTGCACCCTCCTTGTGCCTTGTCACTTGCACGCACCTGAAGCACTCCTCAAAGCACCTGGTCATATAATCCCAGAGGAAGTCAGTGCTGAGGGAGGAGATCAGCAAGTTCACTGTCTTGACGATCTCAGAGGCATTTTTGTTTTCCTTGATGGTACTGAAACAGAAACACACTGTGTCTGAGACATTATAATATATTGTACCATGTCTGACTGATTTCCAGAGAGGATGACAAAACTGATGCAGATGAAAATAGTACTGCTCTTCAGGGTGCAGTGGTGCGCACCTGTGAGCCCAACTACTAAAATGCTGAAGATCTCAAATTTGAGACAACCTGTCTCAAAACAAAACAAAAAAATAGGCCTGGGAGTATAGGTTAGTGGTGAACTCTGTTGGGTTTGCTAAAAGGAAACCACAATAAAGATTTTGATATTGAAAACCAGTTTTAGTAGCCAGATATGGTGGTTCATGCCTATAATACCAGCACTCAGGAAGCTGAAGTAGGAGGATTGTCATGAGTTTGAGGCCAGCCTGGGATATACAGTGAGTTCAAAGCCAGTGTGAACTACATAGTGAGACCCTGTTTCTAAACAAGAGAAAAAAGATGAAGAAAAGCAGTTTTAGTCTAGTTGAATATAATCAAGATTATAGTGGAAACAGCACAACTGTTTTCCACAGATATTCCATGAAAATGTGCTTGCTTCTTGATTATAGTACTGGGGCTCAAATCCAGCACTTGCATACACTAGATGAGCACTCTACTATTAAGCTACATCTCCAGCTCAAAATTGTCAATGTGTATCTTCTATGGCTTGGGACACTAACCCCAGGGACCCTACAGCAGTCCTCACACAGAAACACAAGAGATGTATGCAGAAAGGAACCACTGCAAGGCCATTTGAAGGGGAGACCTGCCTGCAAGCCAGATGCCAACCAAACTTGGCAGTCACATTTACTTAGTAAGTGATCTGTCCTTATTGAGGACTCTGGGGCCGGGAATACAGCTCAGAGGCATAAGCACCTGACTAGTATGCCCAGGGTCCCGAGTTCAATCTGTGGTACCGCAAAAAACAAAACAAAAAACCCACAACTTAATTGAGGACTCTAAGCCACCATGGTGTTCCACAGAGCAGTACAGAGCTGTGCACAGTGTGTGTGTTTATAGTGGGCAACAAAACTGCAAGTATAGTTCTATCTCTGAAATAAAGATAGGCTTTTAGTGTTCACACATGTAGTACAAATCCAGAAAGAAGTGAAAATGATTTAATTTTTCTCTGAAGGATGGGAAGATTATGGGTGATACCCTTTTCCTTAATGTCTTCAAATATCAGTGAATTTTATAATGATCACGTATTACTTTCACACTCAGGAAAACAATAATCTTTCCCCCTGGGAGAAAAAAAGAAAACACTAAGAATTCTCAAGACACTTAATAATGAATAAAGCAGAAAATCTGAGAATTAGTTGAAATGTTCACTCGCTCAGTGCAGATTCAGGCAGAAGAAATTATACTTAGAGTGCAACACAAAGGTGTTTTACCTTGAAGAGAACAAAACCCAAGGGAACAAGGGAACTGTGACTCCCACGCTGAATGCCCCTGGCCTATGTCCTCCTCCCTCACTTCCTGAACTTGCTCTTTTCCCTATTTTCACCTCTCTCCTCCCTGTGTGTGGTGTGCCACTCGGGGACACTAGGTCTCACTGCCTGTGCTGGTGTCGCACTTGTCAGGGAGCAGGTAAGGGTGCTGAGGGACCATGGGCCCAGAGCACAGCAGTGAGAGCCTCGCTGCCTGTCTCCACTCTCCCCATCGCTGTGCAGTTCATGGCAAACAGAAGAGGAAGAAAAGCCCTGGCCTGGGGGGTGGAAGTACATGACGGGGGGCCGACCTCCTACCTGGTCAGCAGATTCCCACTCGGAGTGTAGCTAAGCTGGAGCTCAGAGCCAAGGGCGTCTCTGCAGTAAGAATAAAAGGCTCTGATGACCTCGAGAAACAGATTCTCAACCACCTGAGGGCCTGCAATCAAAAACAAGGTGGTCAGAGGAAGACTGACAATCTGTTCTTGAATCAGTACACAGTGCACACACAACAGAGAGCAACCCATATATAGAGGTCTCCCATAGAAAGAGATACACACAACGTCACTTTAGTGGTGACAACAGTAATGACAGTGGTAGTGGGGATATAACATTCGTGACAACAGGTGACACCCCTGTGGGGCTCACTGTGTTGGCCCCTGGTGTCAGCACTTCACAGCTGGGAACATAGTGAATCCTCATCACAGCCACAGGACTGTGTACCCAAATGCTATCCTTGGTGAAACCCAAGGAACCAAGGGCTAGAGAGGCAAGCTGCCCACGCCAGCTCCCACTGAATAGAGCCACCGGCCAGAGCCATGTTCTGATGCACATAACTGCTTGCCAGAAATCCACCTCTCCACATAAATACCCTCCGAGGATGCAACTTCCCTGTTCTGACTGCCTTTAGTCATAAGCTAGAACAAAAGAAGTAACACTCCCAGGACCACAAAAAGAAAAGAAAGGACATAAAGAACGCGAAGCCTGAAAAGCTTATGGAGCTCAACAAAAGAATGACACCAGCCTCAGGTCAGGTCTGCAGGGGGATGCTCTGTCCTGAGTGTTCAGTGAGGTGGCCATGTAGGCCATGGAGAAACTCTTACAGAGCACATATAGTGCTCTATGTGCTCCGCAGGCCCCCACACAGTCATACCCAGAAGCACTTCACTAGTAAGAATTCTCAAGTCACTACGCAAACTTTGTATTTTTTTGAGTCCTGGGAATTGAGTCTAGGGCCTTTGTGCTAAGCTACATTGACACTACTTTTTTACCTTTTGAGGTAGGGTCTTGCTAAGTCATGAAACTGTTGGTCTGGGCTTGAACTTGTGATCCACCTGCCTCATCTTCCCAGAGTGCTAGGATTACAGATGTTCACCACCATGTCTAGCCTGTGTAGAACTTTTAAGTGGTCTCAGGGGAAATGAGCCATGTGATTCTAAGATTCTGAAACTCCAAAGATTAAATTATAGCCAAGATAACACATTGTTTGCATCTATGGTGTATTAATTCCCTGAGTACAGGAAATGTGTCACCAGGCCCCAGTGACAGGCAGCAGCATTTCTCGAGTTACCTATTTCAGGCTTGTCGAGGAGACTGACCAGGATGCGGAAAGGCTTCAGGTACGCATGGTGCCGCTCCTCGACATCCGTGTCCATGAACTTCTGGTGCAGTATCTGGGCCAGACTCTGTTTAAAACGCCACACATCAGGATATTGAACAGGTGAAGCATGACATTATCATATGTCTTAATTATTGAACACTTGGGCAGAAAAAGCAAACCAGGCCCTAACACATGAGCATCCCTCAGTTCTCAAGCATGTACCAAGGCACACAGCCACGGGCTACTCTGAAGTCTCTCATGAAACTCACTGCAGAGTTGGACAAAGCATGCCCTGGCTGGGCTCAACTTTCCAGACATGTCCTTTACCTCAACTAGAAGATCCTTGGAGAATTTTTCAAAAAAGTAAGAGGATGGGTCTTGATAAGAATTTGAGATGTCAGTTTCAGGCACAATTGTATTTCCTTTAATATCTGAACCTGTAAAAGAACATAAACTATTAAGCCGTCATGAGACCTGTTTTTCATTGCATTGTGCATAAGCCTAATGCTCTGCTATATTTAAAGACATCAGTTCTCTAACAGAAAACGCAGTTCAGACCAAGCTATATTTTTTGTTATTTTTTTCCCCCACTCTGGCACTCAAACCCAGAGCCACGCATGTGCCAGGCCAAAGCTCTACCACCACGCTACACTGCCATCCTGTGTCCCATTCTGACAGGGATGTGGCCTTGCCACAGATCAGGCAGCGAGAGCTCCAACTCAGTGTGCATCAATTACATTTGCTTCAAAAATTCCTCACTGCAAGAGAATGATGGGATGAGGACTGTTTGAAGACCAGTGTCTGCGTGTCCAGCGTTTACGTGTGAGGTCAAGGTGGAGATATGTTTACACTCTGCCCTCATTTGGGGTCCCAAAGCAGGCTCCTGCAGCACAGAAGAACATCTTCAAGGCACAAACCAAGACAGCAGGGCTCCTGGGACCCCCTGGTGTAGCCCCACGTCCCTTCTACACACAGAATATCAGCTCCTGTCTACCAAGAGCACAGCCACACATTTAACAACATCTCTTTCACTAAAAGGCCTTAAAGAGCCCACATTAGTCGTACAGCTCTCAGTAAGTAAACTTCCTTCCTTCCTAAAACTCTTACAAAGTTTTCCAATCAAGGGGAAGGGGGGAAAAATGCAGATGGTGTCCTGACTTTGGTGTGCTTAAACTTATGGGATTGTAAGGCGGGGCTAAGCGAAGAAATCCTGCCCTCAGAGTGCTCTGCACAGCCCCGTTCTCAGGTGCATGTAGGAGGGACTTCAGGAAACTCACATAAGAACTCATACTCTCCACAGTCATGTTAAATACCACACCAATACTGTATTAAAAACTTTCTTACTTACACATATCCTACAATATCCATTGGTTGTCTCCACATATACTCTTATCCCATACAACCAGCTTCTAATAGAATAGGGTTTAGCTTCTAATTTGATGGGTGACCTTTCGAGCTCTTAAAATTGAACTCAGTTGGAATTTTTGAAATCCCACCTATTCTCCCCTCCTTTTTTAAAGCTGTAAACAACAAGAGCTGCATGTGTGAGGCAGACCTTACTGACCAGCGCTGCACTTAGTGTGGTGTCTTCCACACTCTGTGACTCAAACACTAATCACCAAAACCGGAAGTCAGCTAGGAGGCTTCATGTTCACTCCCACTTACTTTCTTTCTTTCTTTCTTTCTTTCTTTCTTTCTTTCTTTTTTTTTTTTTTTTTTGTATTCTATTTTCTTTTTTTAAAATTTTATTTATTTGTTTATTTATTTATTTTTGTGTGTGTGACCAGCTCAGCCCACCAGGGGATGGGGCTGGCTGGCATGTGGCACTGGGGGATTGAACCGCAGTCCCTGTGCTTAGCTTAGCTTAGCTTAGCTTAGCTTAGTTTGTTCTAAGTAGGTGCTTTAGACCACTGAGCCATCTCACCAGCCCCTCACTCCCACTTTCAGTGACTGCTTGCTGCTACATACCTAGCAACCAGGCATACAGTCTTCTGTTCAGGGACATGTCCCTTCTCAGCAGGGTCTGGGTGGCGGCCGAGAGGAGGTGTACAATGTCAGCTCTGACCAGGGGAATGGTTCTTTCATTGGGATCCTATTGGAAGGACAGAGAAAACTGCACGTAAGGAAAGGAATGATAAAGGAGATTGCTAACTTTTGGACACACAGCCCTTCTTCAACCATTTATTCCAAAAGTCAGTTCCCAGAAGAGACTGATTTGGGCGGGGGTGGTGGTACATGCCCTTAATGCCAGCACTGTGGGAGGCTAAGGCAGGAGGACTGCAAGTCTGAGCCCAGCCAGCACAACCTAGTGAGGGCTTATCTCAACATAAAAAATAAGAAAGCTAGAGGTGTACCTGTATGAAAGCCCTGAGTTCACTAACCCAGAACTACTCTCACACACACGAAAGAGGTTGGTGTGTCCCACTTGCCCGTGGAAAGAAGCTATTCAGTCTTTGCCACAGAAACACCATCCACACAAAAAGGAACAAGGGCCTATGACTGAAAGCAAACAGTGATCGCGAAGCAGGTCAGCATCCTCTCAAGAAGAGACCCTGCTGGTAGTCAGTGCCCTAGCCTGGGAGGAAGTCCAGAAGAACACAGAGCACTTACCAGACAGGTGTAAAATGGGAAGAAAAACAGAACGATTTCCAGATTGTTTCTTTGCACAAGCACATTTGAGTCCAATAGTGAGGCACACAGTGATTTCACCTGTAAATGACAGACAACACTAACAGTATGTTCCAGAGACATATGATCTGCAACCACAACACAGTTACTTCGTAAGCCTCGATATCAGTGTAGCACTTCCCGCAGTGAGCAAGCTGCGGTCAGAACTCTAGGGTCAGGGCACCTATCCCATCCTGTCTGAACACCATGGGTCCCAGCAGGAACCTCAGGTTAAACTAAAGCTGGAGACACATGATCTGATGATTCTGATCAATTCTAGCGCATCTCCGCACAGACAGGTATTGTCCAGGGCCATCACGACTAAGCTTGGTGGGACAGGAAACTGAGCTCCAGGGATAAGAAGCAGCCACACAGAGACAGGGAAAAAGGGTTGGAAAGGGCTGTCAGAAGGAAGGAGAGAGCTGGTCAGGCTGAGGCCCAGCTTGAGAGCTACCTGAGGCCCAGAGGCCTGTGGCAGCCTAGCGGGCCCTGGAGAGCAGGGTCTGTCTTTGGGGAGCACAGGACAGAAGTGACCAAAGCTGTGCTTCCGCAAAGCAGATCTCTTACCTTGCCCCTGGCAGGGCCTGGATGGGCAGAGTTAGGTGGGGAGAAACCAGTTAGAAAAGAAACAAAGGCATAGCTCAGCAGAATAAGCGCCTGCTGGTAGGCACAAAGTATTCCGTTTGATCCCCAGCACCAAAAACAAAAAACAAAGCAAAAACCCAAAAGGGCCAGAGAGATAGCTCAGCAAGTCTAAGCACCTGTCTGGCAAGGGCAGGGACCTGGGTGTGATCCCCAGTAACGCATGCCATGCTAGCCTCACCCCAAAACCAGGTGTAGTAGCACATGCCATAATCCTAACACTAAAGAGGCTGAAACAGGATCACTATGAGTCTGACCTGCATAGTACGACCCTGTACCAAATACATAAAATTAAAAGAAACAAGGGCAAAACGTGAGGCGCTACAGCAGGGCTGTAAACACAGAGAGAAGGAGATGAATGAAGTCTGTCCAGGGGCTCCTCTCTGTGCCATCATCTTGTGAAGTGCTTTGCATCCATCCTCATAAAGACCCCATGGGGCAAACTACTGGCCCCTGCAGAGAGGACAGGGTTGGAGGGCTCATTCATACCCACCCACAGCCCTTCTGCGTAATGAATTCATCTGCAAATTTTAAGCTCAAAGTGTAGGTTCTCCATCAGGTGGCGGCAGGGAGCCACCTTGAAAAGCACAGAAGGCAGGGACAGGGCAGAGATTCTGCAGGCTTCTGCAGGCTCCCGCTTTCAAGTTCCTGGAAGGGGTGAGCTGGCTGGGAAGGCTTCTCTTGCAGGCCTGGTGATGTCCATGTGGGTGAGCCCAGGAAAGAGCAGGGTTGGGGCAGAGGAGGAGGTACACATGAGACATGGCAGGCAGGAGGAAACAGGACCAGGCAGTGGCCAGCTGTGCTGTGGAGGCAGCGTGCTCCTTGGCTGCAACACTTCCTCCTAGACACGTTCACCTTAGTCCCATTTGCAACTGCAACCCCGCTGTCCTCAACTGTGTGCTCCACTTCCTCATTCTGCTTGGCAGCTCACCATTGTGCCCCCAGGGCCCCAGATGACTTCCCACCTCTTTCCTGTTCGCTGATAATCCCCGAGGCCTCACTGACCCCTGCTCCCCAGGTGCTCTGTCCACAGGCCCATGGGAGCAGAGCACGCACCACGCACCGTGAGCTGCTGGTCAGTGCCCAGCATGAACTTCTGCTCCTGGCCCAGAGAGTCCCTGCTGATGTGGCTCACCACGAAGAGTGAGGCTGGGAGCCGGATGGCTGGGTTGGTCAAGACACTGCCCCACAGCGCCGTGTAGAACACCTCCTTGCCCACCACCAGTGACAGCCTCAGCAGAAGGGCGTCGGTTCTGTGGGGTAGAGGGCACAGGGATCTCAGGGTCTGTCTCGCCCCCCGCCCATGTCATCATTCCACACTTCAGGTATCTCTGGTCCTCAGTTTCTACCCACCAGCTCTCACGCTGAACCTCTCTTTTGCTCAAACATTTCACATGGAGGTGAGGCTTCCTGGCCAGCAGGAACCATCCGATGGGTCCTACTGCTATGGCACTGCGACCATCTACTCCCCAACAAGGGTCACTGAGACATTCACAGAAAGGTAAGAGCATCACCATTAGCAAGAGCATGAGCGAGTCTATTTCATTTGTTTAAATTTTTATTTTTTAAAAAAAATATTTATGTATTTGGTACAAGGTCTCACTATGCAGCTCAGACTCATAGTGATCCTCCAGTCTCAGCCTCCCCATTGCTGGGATTACAGGGGTGTACTACCATGCCATGCTCAGTGGTCAGCACGGCAGAACTCTGACATGGCATGTGCTACTGGGGATTGAACCTGGTCCTTGTGCTTGTCAGGCAGCCGCTTAAGACTGCTGAGCTATGTTCCCAGCCTCTAAATTTTTATTTTTGAGGCAGGCTAGTCACCAACTCATGATCTTCCTGCCTCAGACACCTAAATGTTGGGATTATAAGTGTGTGTGACCAGGCCTGGAGTCATGTTATGATAAGGAGTCACTGTGGACTGCTGTGACTCAAGACTGGTGTAATAATGATGGTGCTCCCAGAGGAGCACAGCCGGCACTGCACCACATGCCTGTGACTTCAGAACCAGGGATGGACCCTGCCTGGCCTCCAGACAGCCTGCAAACTCACACAGCCAGAGCTGTGTTTTTCCCGTCCTCCATCACACTCCACAGACTGGCACTGAGATCTGACAGTTCTTTCCTGCCCAAGTCTACTTGCTCTCCAGGACACCAAGTCACATCCTTTTATGGAAGGAACCCTGAGGGGCCAGGGCCTGTTCCTATGGATGCTGACTGACCAAGGTGGTCCTGCCTGCTGGGTGTGGCACCTACAGCTCAGAGCACTATCCCTGCCAGTGCTGGATGCAGCCTGCAGGTGAACAACAGAATGGCCAGTGACCCAGCAGATGGGACAGTCTGATTCACTGCCCAAGAGCATTCAATTGCCTGCAAGCTTTCAGGATTTGATTTTTGTTTTTTGAGACAGGGTCTTGCCCCATGTAGTGCCATGGGGCTTTGAACTTGCTTATGTAGCCCAGGCTGACCTTGAACTCCCAGTGGTCCTCCTGCCTCAGCCTCCTGAGTGCTGGGACTACAGGCATGCCTGGCTTCCCAGAAGTTTTCTACTTGCAGAGGAGGCAGACCTGACTCTGAGTTACTAGGCAGGTCACCTGAGATTGTGCAGTTGGTACCCTGTGTCTGAGTCCTGGCAGTGGGATCTGGAACAAATTTAATCTCATACACGTTCATGAGAATGAGGCTCAAATGAAACTTGTGCAGAAGCAGGGCTGGGGTTCCTGCCATACTGCCCTCTGTCAACCCCAGCTCTGCTGTTTGCAGATGGCCTGTGCCACGGCTGGTGACCCACACATACATCAGCACTCAGAAGACCTGTCAGGTGACTGCCATTCCCACACTCTGTCATAAGCCTCAACCTTCAGCACACTTCTTTTTTTTTTGGAGACAGGGTCTTACTGTGCAGTTCAGACTGGCTTTAAACTCAGGCTGGCCTCGATCTCACAGCAACCTCCTGCCTCTAAAGTGCTGGGATTACAGGCGTGCACCACCAAGCCTGGCCTAAACTCACTTTTCAATGATCAGTGTATATAAACTTTTTTATGTAAAAGTGTCTACTGCCTTCAATGTATGAAAAATGGATTTCAAGGGCTGGCGAGATAGCTTGGCAGACTAAGGGCCTGCTTAGGCAAGCACAGGGACTGGGGCTCAATTCTGACACCAAATGCCATGCTGCCCCCGCCCCCAGGTGCACTGACCTGGTCACCAAGACCAAGCATGGTGCACACCTGTAATCCCAGCGCTGGGGAGGCTGATAACAGGAGAATCACTACGAGTCCCAGCTGCATAGTATGACCCTGTACAAAATACACAAAAATAAATAGTAAAAAGCAAAATAGATTTCAGAGCTGGGTGTGGGAGCCATCTTGGAGAGGAGCTGGCTGAGCTCAGAACTCCAAACTGCTGCATCTATCTAGCAGCTCCTGGCTGAGTTCAAGCCCACAGAAGGTACTGTGACTAATGCAGGCTGCACGGGCCAGCCCCAGGCAGAACACAACCTGAACTTCAGGGGAAACAAAGGTGCAGACTTGCTGAGATTATCCAGTACTCTGCGGTAAAGTTACTGTAGGATTGCAGGCCTAAGTCAACACAGACAAGGACTCCGTCTCCACACAACGTCTACCAGTGACAGCACAGACAAACCAGGAAGTGGATTATTTTTTTCTCCTTGTTTTTCTCTCTCATTTGTTTTTTGTTGCTGTTGTATCTTTTTTCTTCATTGTTTGATCTTTTTGGGAGGGGTGTCTTTTTAAGACAGGGTCGTGCTATGCAGTTCAGGCTGGCCTTGAGCTCACTTTATAGTGTGGGCTGGTCTTGAACTTACAGCTATCCTCCTGCCTCAGCCTCCTGAGTACTGGGATTATAGGCAATGTGCTACCACATCCAGCTATGATCTTATTTTTATATGAGTGTGAATGCAGTTCCTAGTCTCTGTGGTATTGTGCTAGTCTTCCTTCTATTTCTTCTTTCCTGTCTTCTGCACCAGTTTCTCAAATTTAGTGTGATTCCCCTCTGTCCTCCAGCCTTACTTTTAATCTCTTCCTCTTCTTCATCTCTTTTTCCCTAGCGCCCCCCTCCCTTTTATTTAACCCTTTTAAAATTTTAACCCTTGAGGGTAAAACTAACATATTAAGGACTTATATATTGCATATAATTTTCTGGTTTGCTTTAGATTTTGTTATATAACCACAAGTCCCATTCCTATGATTAAAAGTGGCCATTTAATGGTTATTGCAGGTTGTGATTTTCTAGGCTGTTTGATGTATTGTTATTGCTGATTGTAACACTTTAGCAGAAGTTACATATTTTTTTTTAATTCTAAAGAGCTTTAATGAACAAAAAGCTCCAATATTTCCAAATGTCTACTGAGAAGAAAATACTCAAGTCATACCAGTATTCACCATAAAACTAAACAAAAAGGGAGGAAAGATGAAGACTAATTACTATTCTTTTTCATACAAATAAATGCTGCTTACAAATAAAATATTGAGACCCTATCTCAAGTAATAGCTCAATATGACTTAATAATCTGAACTGCAGGGAATAAAGTAACTGGTCCACACTGTTTCCTTTACATGGTTCTGTACACTGAAATGCCAACTGCACCACTTAGGAATAGCTTGCAAGGGCCAGCCAGATAGCTCAGCAGACTAAAGTGCCTGCTTATGCAGAGAACAGCGGCCGGGGTTTGATCCCGATGTGCCATGCCAGCATTGCCTCCGAGGCACCTGAGACAGTGATTGAGACTGCATGTGTTGGTGCACCTGTAATCCCAGTGCTTGAGAGGCTGAAAACAAGAGAATCACTATGAGTCAGATCTACATAGTGAGACCCTGTACTATATACAAAAACAAAAACAAACCAAAAAAAGGAATAGTTTGCAAAAATGATGAGAAAGGGGCCGGGGAGATGGCTCAGTAGAATAAGCGCTTGCCTGGCAAGCCCAAGTGTCTGAGTTCAATCCCCGGTTCTGCCAAAAAAATGATGAGAAAGTGAAAGGCTTCATTCTTGTCACAGCTGACCACTTTAGTGGAGGAGCACTACGTGCACATGACAAGGTGGCAGATTTCTTCAGCTTCTGTCTGCTTTGTGGAATCTTCCTGGTTAGAGTGAAGCTTCTTGTAGCCAGCCCCATTGTTATGGTTTGTGTCTAGGTGTCCCCCGCAAGCCTCATGCAGTCTTGGGGTAGCTTCTGGAGTTTGTGATTGAGTACTGTGGATGTGGATGCTGCACCTGTCCTGGGGCAGGTAATCTGCATCACAATGTAAGGAGGGAAGAAAAGCTAGCTGCTTGAGCTGCTGCTACCCCTCTCTTGTGCTCTTGCTCTTTGCCCATGAAAGGTTGCCCTCTGCCGTGTGGCCCTCTGCCATGTGGTGCTCTGCCTTGGAGCCAGCTGAGTATAGACTGAAACCTCCAGTAACTGTGAGCTAAATAAACCTTTCCTTCCTTCACTGTGAGTGTTGGGTATTTGTCTCAGCAACAAGAGAAGAGTAACTAAGACACTCATCTTTTCTCCCCATGGTCTGGGTTTTTATATCTTAGAACCTCCTCCTTTCTGTTGACAGAACAGTTCATCACAAACATTGCTCTATACTGAGTTCTGCAGGATTCATGCAGCTTGTGGAGGTTCCAGTCCATGATCAGCAGGCTTCAAGACAGTGGCACATGGCAAAGGGCACCAGTTCATGGCAGTAGAAAACAGCAGGACCAAAATGGGAGGAGCAGTGGCAGCAGCCAAAGTTACATAACTGTTCTCACCAGCACTCCAGTATACCAGGACTAAGATGACTAAGGATTACAGAAAATACAGTGGGACAGTGCTAAAGAAAGAGGCCGGCCCAAGCAGGCAGCAACTTCTAATCTGCAGCAAACTGAAGACATAGTATCTTTTTTGCTCCGAATGCCTTCAGGGCAGTTTTGGCTGGCTTGAGTTGTGGGGATCAAACCACAGCAACCTGAGCCTGACTGCTTTGTTGAAGCAGCCACTTAAAGAACTGAGCTAAGGGGCAGGCCCCCAAGACATAGTATCTTACATTGGACTCAAACCCCAAAGTTACACTACCAAGATAACTTGGAAAAGTAGTCATTCACTAAGGGTTCTAAATGCTAGCAACAAAGTAACCCACCACATGCAATTTACAAGCATCATCCCAGGAGTTAGACTAAAAAGAAAAACGAAAGAAATGAAAAGAAACTTATAAATAAGATGCAACCCCAGACATCTAGTTCATCAAAGGCAAACCCTAGGGACA